AGGCCAAGGAAAGCGTGAAAGGTATGACACCCCAACGAAATACGAATCCTTTAATCAGTGCAGTACAACGTGGTTTGCCGTCCGTTTCCCCACTGTATCAGCGTTTCCTAATAAATTCTTTACAATTATTCCGACAAATTTTTTTCAATATTTCAAATGGAACATTTAACGTTGGCAACCATGACAGTGTATAGTAACATTCTAGTGACACGAAGTAAGTATATCACCGAACTTAACATGAGTTGTTGAGTACTTGGAACTGAATTTTGGAAAATATCGTCGGCGAAATATTTGAGGTTGGAAGTGAATTATAGGTTATGTTAATTTTTTTTATTTATTTTCTGCTATTATACAGTATTAATGATCAGACGATAAAATATTTTGTGCATCTATTTCCGTGTTAGGAAAGAATTTTGTTTTACGAGGATTTTTTAACGTGATTTCTGAAATCATTAAGGTTAGGTTTACATTTGGTCACTACTATTTCGAAAACGAACCAGGCTTGCATTTAATATTAGATCGGTAGGATACTATTCATAGGTGACGTTTATGATTGTTTCAAGTACACTAGAAAATTTATAGTATCATTTTGCACGGGTAATTGTTAAAGCGAACGTTATCTGATTATTGGCGGGTCCACGAATACTGAAAACGAAAGTCAATACGGCCAGTAACCACCTGTTACATTCTGCCTGGAAAAAAAGAATGCATGAGAAAATAACAGTAAAATAAGTGCCATGACCTGAATCATATTTTCGAATTCCTGACACATTAGGATGCATTATTTACATATTTTACTAACAAAAATACAATCTAGGGAATTTTTATACGACATCGAGAGCGTGTTACTACAGTAATTGTTTCTCGAAGAATCCTAGTTATAAAAATTAAAAAGTGACCAGAAGTGATAAAATTAAAGTAATTACAACTAAATAGTTAACTAACAACGCTCCAAAATTTGTTTAAATTACTATTAACAACAATTACAACTTATAACCCCAAACTTAGCTGCGTTTATTAAAAAATTTAGTAACGTAATTTATACAATGTATTTTTGTTTTGCACTAGAATGTTTAACCGCTTGAAAATCGTTTTAAATTCGTATTTTTTATTCGTACATTGAAGATGCGTAGATAGAGATGCAATTGCAGGCGTTAATAGAATTTTTAATCATTTGTTTTCATCCTTGAATTTTGTTTACGCGTGTAGAAATCGCAACAAAAATATTTGTTGTGTCAATAATAAAATTACGGTTAAGGTAACAGCGTGCGAGATGATTAGACAAATTAGAATTAGCGGTAATCCTTTTATTCCGATCGAAAGTCTCGAAGACTCGAGGAAGAGTTCGAGGGCTCTTCAGAATTGGTACCGCGAAACCTATATCCGCGTCTATAAAGTGCAGTGAACGCGAGCGGGTGCAACGAACTTCGTTTTCCCCCTCTTTTGTCTTCTCTTTCTACCGCCCTGTCTCCCTCTCTCGCGTGCAATTTCCCCCTCTAAGGCCTCTTCCCCTCTTGCAAGTAAGCACACAAGCATCGCGTCTCTCGTACCAAACCAGACACAGGCGTAGCCTCGAATTTTGGACGCTTGTACGATCGTATTTCATCTGTTCTTACAATGTTTATTTCTCGTTTAGCGATCCGTCCTTTGACGTCGAGCGACGCTACTAGTGATTTTGTAGTTTTGATGGCTGGCGCTAGATGGCACTGTTGCTGCTATTCTTTTAATATTATAAAAGAATATTTCCTATTCTTGACGCGAGTAGTCTTCTTCACGCTTTCCTTTATGATTCAATTAACTATTCATGATATTATACTTTTATAATAGTAATATTTCTAAGGATAGTAATAGTAATACTTGTAAAACTGTAAATAGTGACATATTTGAAAGTAAAAGTACCACTATTTAGGTTAAGTGTATGTACTTTGAATTTTTCGAAATTATGATTTTTTTTTTCAATTTGAATTAAATATAAATACGTTATTGAAATACCTCTAAGGCAGAGTGGCATAAGGTTGCAAATTACCACTATGCAACTTTTGATCTGCAATCTTCTATTGTTACGCGCGAGAAAGTTGAAGAAAGGACAGAAACATGTAACAAGAGTAGTTTTCTAGAAATAAGTATGTTAACGCTCACTTTTATCGTATTTATTAATTCTCTTTATATAAGAGGTCCTCGTTCAAATAATTTGGAATTCATATGCGATTAATTTGCATACTAGCTATTAAATATCATATTAATCAAAATTTTATATCGCATCATAAAAACTGTAAGGATGTCATTATTCCGTTGAACATATTTGGAACCACATGAACATTTTATCACGCACACTTCCTCATCTATTAGGTTCATAATTTAATGCCGATAAATATTTTATCACGCAGACTTTCCCACCTATTAGATTCGTGATTTAATACCCAAATATATTTTTGAGAAACAGAGACCTCTAGCCTGCGTGAAACTTTCCATTTTTCATATCTGTTTGTTTTGTTTGCTTTAGAGCTATAATCATAACCTAAATCTCCTCCGTGTTACTATCTTCGCCAACCACCGTAACAAATTTTTTATAACCATTCAAATTTTATTACAACACCTCTCCGTTGTAATTACAGTAAAAATAATCACGTATAAATATAATATTAAAATACCTCGAAGTTCATAGTTCACTATACTTAGTTGCCTATCATCGATAAAAAATCCATGGTTAACTCTCTACGTTACCAAGATATTTAAAACTCTATAAACACTCGCAATAAATAAAAATAGACGCTATTAAATGGCACGTATATGATGTACAAATAATTTCGATTTGTTCGGGTAAGGAACAGGTAAATGTGAAAGATACGTAAACACGGTGGAATTCGTGTTACGTGGTAAGGTAACTTACTAACTTATCGATAATTCATATATCGATGTTTTCCAAGATACGAGAAGAGAGGAACAGTGAGGATGCGATTTAAATTTACTAGTACTACAGCTATATTTTTTGCATAACTACTCGTAAATCGTAGAGAGTAGATACGCTCCTGCGGAGGAGCGGTCTCTCTTGGAAGCAGGCAGTGGAGCGCATGGGAGGCGCGAAAGCGTTAACCCCACTGTGTGGTCACCTTCTATTCTAGTGCGCGTGTAAGCGTGCCTCTTGCTGAGGGTAAACGCAAAACGGCCATGCACGCGTTGCGAAGACCACCGTGGGTCATCTTCGTCGTGGGAGCAACCCCACTTTCGACGCGCTCATCCGCGTCCGAATATCGATCGACGGCACCGGAGTCAGAAATGCTTCATAGATTTATGTTATAGATTTTACGTGAATCGGGAACGCAGTTTATCGTTTTGAGGTTATGTTGTTGGGCCAATTGTACCAGAGGAATTCTGTTTTTATTTGTAACGTCATTAAACAGGTGGTACGGAGATGGGAAACTCGGTCGTGTAACGCTGATGTTATTTAAAATATTTATACAGTTACATTTTGGATAATGGGTCTTAAAATATGAAAATCGTGTTATACGTATGCATATATCCGATACTAAGGTATGTGATGCTATAATGCTGTAATAGCGTATGTTGTACAGGATACATTATGTGGCAGGTATAAGTGCTATGAATTAAACATTACATTATCAATAGGAGAAATGCGCTCACTCCATCTGGAAGAAATGATTAGGTCTATCTTCCTATAATTAATTCATGGATAATATAATGCAAGAACACATTTTACCTATTTCTAATTTCTACAGATAAGGTTAAGTCTCGGTTGTCTATGAATGGCACATATAATTATATATACGTTTAGGAAAAGCATAAACAAATTTAAGATAAATGTGAAGTACACTTTGATCATTAAATAACTAGTATAATTAGTTGTTAATTGCAAATAATATTTGTATACATAATTGTTAAACTTAACTTGGAATTATAGGTTTTTATCTCCATTATCTTTTATCTTTTTTGAACGTTACAATAATTTATAGTTAAATACAAAATAGTTTTAGAATTTATACTCCTATATGATATTTGATAATTAATAAAATATTGCAATAATTTAATAATTCTAAAATTATTATTATATTTCTATACCAGAAAATGTATATTACTTTATTTGGTGTAATTCATAAATATTAGTTATAAAGTTAAAAAATTGGATAGATTTTTAATAAAAATTTTATTTAACGCTCTTGAACAGGTGTCAGTACATTTTTATCTGTAATGTATGTATACTTAGTTCGGCTAGGTTATCACTCAAGTTAGGTTAGGTTAGATTCGGTTAGGTTATGTTATGTTATTACTCAATATCTTTTAATTCGTCTTCAATTTACTTCAGTTTATTTATAATATGATTAAAAAATTTTGAATAAATGTATTTCTATAAAAGTTAATGTTTAATAAAGATAATTTATTGAAGTAAATCTCTGACGTTCGCGTTATATAATGAAAATAGTACATTTGTTGGACTCACCTAAGAATCCTTTATGCAACACGGCTAATTAAAGTGTTATTTCAAATGTATAACCGATATGTATACACGGTGTCGCGAAAATGATAATATAGAGGCATACCAGATGTTTTCCATTGAACGTCCTTGGACTTAGTGACAACTATTTTCCATCCAAGGTCAAAAGAAACTTTACAAAGCAGTCTTATCAATTTATCAGTACCATCGTTGCAAACCGGATGTTTACAATCCGAATAATCTTCTAATGAATAATACATCACTTCTCTTCTATAATCAATTTCAAATATTTAAACAATTTTAGCATGTAAAAAAAAAGTCAATAAATTATACTCATCGTATAAATCTGATATTCACTTACTTCTTTTTTTAACTACAATGTTAACGGAAAACAAAAAAAAAAAAAAAATGAAGGAAAAACTATGACAAGAAACATATAAAAGTATTATTTAGCAAGCCAAGTCTATCGAGTAGTACAAGGCCAACGGCATAAGCTATTCGAAGGGCACAGAGAATGCTTATTCATTCGAGAAAAAACATTTGTTTGCAGTTTGAACAAGATGCATGCAATGGAAGGTGCGGCTGGAAACGGGAAGAAGGTGGACTCGGCCGAAAAGACGAGGGATGACGAATCGTCGAGGGCCTCGCCGAAGGTTCCTCAAAATCAGCAGAATGGGGCAGCGCTGCCGGAGGAGACTGCAGCAGCTCCGGCTACTATCGAGTGTCTTCGGTCCGCGTCGATAAAGAAGGAACCTCTCTGCGATTCGGAACCGGAAGCGGCGAGCAAGAGCCTGTCGGCGGAAGCAGCGCAGCAGAAACCCGTAACATCGCGTTCCACTAAATCGGCAACGGAGGGCAGCAGGAAACGAAAGTCAACGGATGGACAGTTGTCTTCAAATGGAAATTCTACGCCGAAGAAATTTTGTATGGAGCAGAGGGAACAGTATATCTCGTCTCTCGTCGGCTGTGAGAAAGTTACCGCGGAGGAACTTGCTGCGAGGGCTGACCAACTTCGTGCCGAAGTTCAGGTATTTTTTTTTTTTCTTGAATTAAAATATGTAACTCGCTTTTGTTTTATAACGTTTATTTAAACTTCTAATTTATTTCTTTTTTTATTTTAGTGTTAAATAAAATATACTTTTTTTTAGTGGAGTTTCATTTGAGCATTGTTTACATTACCCAATTGTCAGCCAGATTTTGAAAGGATCATAAGGTATCCCAAAAATTTGGAAGAAGTTTCTAGCAAAATTTCATTATTACACTTAACTTTTTAATCATTTTTTAATATATACATAATCAGCGTTCGGTATATTATCTATTATATGTATCAATTGTATTAATATATATAATTAACATTAAATCTTATTGTACTAATAATTATCTGTAATAATTAAGAAAAATCAGATAATTGCTTTAAATGTTATTTAACATGTTATTTAACATAAGATAGCAATCTTGAACATCTACTGATTTTTATTTTTCAGAATGATTTACATTTTAAACAAATTTCACTGTCATGGTGAAAATACCACTTTATTCGTTTGTAACATTTTATTGTACTTGCATATTAATAAGAGGAACAAAAATAACTACATTAGCTAATTACAATTTATCCAGCAATATTAAATTCAATTTAGTTTAAATTATAATTTCAAAGTGCATCTGAAGCTCTTTAAAGATTTAAAATTTACTACATACCAGGAATAACAGGTGTTATCTAATATTAGGATAGTGTAATGTCCAAGTGTATTTTAGGTACTTAATTATTTCCGTTCTCATTTTTTGCGCACAGGCCCTAGACGAGTTAGCACGTGCCAAAGAAATGGAATGGAACGAGATCTTGAGCATGAGAAAGCTGAAGGAGGAAGCGTACCTGAGAATCGAGAGAAGGAGGCAAGTTATGGGATTCATGGAGGGCAACGGACAGCTAGCGGACACATTGCCACCAGCAAGTTTGGCGCTGGGCCCTGAATGGGAAAGCAGCGGTAACACCACTCCCGTATCCAAAGAAAAACTGAGCTTTGGCTCGAAGGAAGATCTGCCTGAAGAAAGTTCTCAGGATTCACCGGCGTTTAAAAAGGAAAAGGGCACGAAACAGGGCTCGCAACGTCAATCGACGCCACCCAAACAAGGTGGAGAGAATGGGCGAAAACAGACTGAAGCGCTTAGCCCAGAGAATAGACAAATTGGCGAAGGCCGTCAAGGTGCCATTGTCGATGTTAGGTCTATTATTGCTGATTACAGACTGAGGCATCCTGAAACGGTACCACGGAGGTGAGCGTGCGATATCAGTATGAGTCAGTAAAGTACACTACATTAACTGTTCCATCATTGCTAAATAGGTGAAACGTATGTGTTATAAGATATATATAAAGCAAGCTACACGCGCTTTTGTTACGCAACAGGTAGTTAGATATTTAAACCATTATTTCAGTATTCATCTGAATAATTTAATAACTTCTTACTCTTCAATTACTCACTTGTTTCTGTTTTTAATATGTAATATTTAATATGTATATTTTAATTACATTTATTTATGTATAATTTGTTCTGTGTACAAGTTGTATAAAGTGTACAACTTTTACTTCATATTTTATGTTTAAGCAAGGTGTAACTTGCAAATGTATTGTACTATTTTTATTTTATTATATTGTTTCCCTTTTAAAGAATTTAAAATATTAATAAAATAAATTCTAAATATAGAAATTTAAATTTAATATATATTTTTAAGAATGGGTTTATGAGCCATTAAAAATTTAGTTTATTTTTATAAGCATAATGTAACCAAAATTTATAAAATTTATATGCGTTTGATTGTTCCAGGGGTCGAAGAATGAGAAATTCGGTAAATGTTGGCCTTGGAGCTGGTGGAGCTATGGTTGAAACAGGGCACAATGTTGATTCAAGGCCATCTAGCACAGACTCTTGTAAAAGCAACTCAAATACAGTTGATCCTAATAATTCCATGAGCTTTAAGGACGTGCTTGTGCAGTTTGCTAAATTAAGCCAACAACAAGGTATGTTGAAGTAATCTTGAAAAATTAATATTAGAAATAAATTTTCTATAATTTAAGCTTTGCTTTCCTGTTAGTTAAATCTGCAAGCAAGTCCTAAGAACTAAATTTTTTATAATTCAAAGATGTAGGTGTATTTTTCTATTCTTTTTTTAGTTTAACTCAAGATACAGAAATAAAATTAATAATGAAATAAGTACAATTACAATTTCTTACTTCCTACAATTGCTTTAACGACTATACTATTATATAGAAGACTAGAAAAGTTCCTTGACACTGAAAAATAAAGAATAATGTAAATAGAATAACACCACTCTTCTACACTGCGGAAAAATTGTTTTAAAAGAGTTTTAATTCCGAGTTAAGAAATTAATTCTTTAATAAATTTTAAGTATCGAAAAAATAACTAATTTTTTTTTTATGTAAAATTGTTACAGGTGAACCTGTAAAAACGCCTCAAAATTATCCGGATGTGACGCTTCATCCTGTTGCACCATCTCCGGCACCACAAAATACCCCACCTCAACAGAGTGGTTCGTTGCTTCATGGAATTCTCACGAAATCACAATCTCCAAGACCTACTACTTTTTCACCTACTTTAGCTAGATTACTCACCGCACCTGAAAGAGAAAGGAATGCACCAACAGCCGCGTCCATGCCACAGCAAAGTGCGGCAACCCAGCACCTTTTGCAGACATATCAAGGCTCTAATCCGGTTTCTATCAGTGACCTCCTATCTTCTTCCAAGGTATTTTTTTTTTCACAAATGAAACATAATTTGTATTACATTAGTTTAATAAATTAATAATAGCAATATTATTTACCTTTGTATTATATACATGTAGGCTCGAACTGAAATAACGATAACACCAGTCATCAACACTCCGGTTCAATCTCATGTTGTAAGTGATAAATAAAGTAATAATAATAATGATAATAATTTATTTTTAAATATAATTTTTTATCATTCAAGTTAAATTTATGTATAAATATTTCATGGTTTTGTTTATAGGATGATGTTGAAGAAGAATCAGCAGTAATTGAAGATAGAGAAACTCGTATTTCTTCAGGCGGTAGGGATGCTAGAGAGGATAGAGACAGTCCGCCACGATGCCAAGGATGTCACGAACGTGTAGCTCAGTTCGTATGTGCTGGCTGTGGTCATCAGTGGTACTGTAGTCGCGAATGCCAAGTAAGATGAAATTCACTTGTGTTGAATTTTTAATTAATTTCGTTCATAAAGTAAAATGATTATATTATATTATACTAATTACCAAAATAATAAAAAAATTTTAGGTTGCTGCGTGGGACGAACACTCAGAAGTGTGTTCTGGTTAAGGGACGAGCACGTATTAATCTAAACCTCGTACTCGTTGTATCAAGTTACATACCCTTTCAACTGAGAATGAATCTAGTCAAAAAAGAACGGCCAAGAATATAACGCGTTTTGAGTACGATAAGAGGAAAGGTGGAACATTAAGAGAGCAGTGTATATTTTTAAGGACTTTCAAATATGTTTAATCTGTAAAAAATAAGTTTTGTTTCATAAAAAAGAGAATCGCAAAGATAACGGCGTTTCTTGTAAGAGATGAGTATTTACGATGAGAGTGAAAATATGAAACTCCGGGTATTTCGACAAGATTAGGATTCAAGTTGAAACGATCGTTGCTTCACTGTAATCACCGCGTTGCTTTTATTCGTTATCAGTACTGAACGATCGTGAGTCTTCATTGAGACAAATAGAGAGTATTAACCCTGCTGAAATTAAGCATTTAACGTGTATCTTCCAAAGGACAAACTGTTTGTGAGATTCCTAATGTAATAGGAATTCTTGATGGATATAAACATTCGTAACAACTTCGTGTATCAGATACTTTTTTTTAGATTTTAACCAATGCATGACGTACGATGTACGCTAGTCGAAAATTTTCAACTTTTTCCAAACAAAAAAAGAAAAAAAAAACGAAACAAGCCAGAAATAGCTGGTATGTGCGCTTGTAATGAGGAACAAAGCACAAAACTGTGTCTCGCGATGCTGTACATAATTTTATACGTGTTAGCAGGGTTGTTCAGCGTCAAGTTTTTAAAAGTTGGTTAACCGTGTGCCATGCGTAAGATTCTTTTCATGGTCAGCTTTATGTGTTAAACAAATCTAAGTTGTAGATTATTTGAGTGTTTTTATAATCTCATCATTTTTGTTTCATTTCTCTATCTATTTTATTTTATTTTTTCCGTTTCTTTGTAACTGAGTCTTATTCGTTACATTAAAATAATATCGCATTTGATGACCAGAATGCGAGGTACACACGGATGTTACAGCCTTCTTATATATTTTGTCGTTCATTTAAGAAAAGCACGTACAATGCGTACCGAATACCATATTTTATACCACGTTTGTTACCAACGTATAAATTTAGATTTAACGAAATATTAGCTTAGTGTAGGTTTAAGCTACTTCTTTTTCCCTTCTTTCGCAACTTGTTCGTTGGTAACGTATTTGACACGTTCTGAGTTCACTTCTCTTTTCTTTTTTTTTTTTATTATAAAAAAAAATTAGCATGTTACCTAAACGACAATTGTCCCAGACATAATCTGTAGTCCAAAGTTCCTACAGGTACACGCAACATTATATATATTTTTCCCAATTATGAAGCAAACCAAAATAAAGTTTTTAATCGTACTTTCATGAATTTGTACTGTTTCTATAACCATTTACATATTAAAAATTTACCAATATTTTCATTTAGCTAAAATAAAAATAATAAGGTTATTTTTAATTTTTTTCCTAACATCTATAACTTTCCCAATTTTAGTTTCTTTAATCTTATCGTTTCTCTATTTTTAGTTTTTAATTTGAAGATTTGTAGTCCTGCTTTTATTTTTAGAAAATATATTATGTGAGTTATTTATATAAAAATTTCATACATTAAATAACAAAAAATTGTATAATTAATCAAATTGCATAAATAATGAATGTAAAATACCAATTTACATGGCTTTTGATGACTGCTACTGTAAGTTACTAAAAAGCTATTGGCGGCACTGCTACAGCGTTGTTATGAGAAGTAAAGTCGTGCGCGGCAAATTAAGCTTTCGAATTGTGCGAAATTTCTGATTGATAGAATGACGTTTCCTCAAGCTCATCAAATTGAATTGATAGCATTGGCAGAATTAGCAGGAATTTCAGCAGTTCCAGGAGTTTATCGGTAATAATTTATGAAATATATACGCATAACCTATACGACTGTATGTAAAAGCTTTAATAAGATAACCTTGTATATTATAAATGTCTTGACATTTCGTAATAAATATAATATTTATCTAAATGTATCAAGTGTAACATTTTTTTTCACGTTATAAATTCATTGAAATAATGCTATAAGCAAGTAAATAAATTTAAAAAGTGACGCATTTAACACATAATAATAAAAAATTGTATAGAACAAACATGCCAAAATTATTATGTGATCTTAAGAAATTGTTTTTTAGTATCATATTGGAACTTCTTGCACTTCAAATATCACCAGAAGATATATATATACTTTTAAAGCAAATATGTCCAGGATCAACAGAGAACCAAACTGTTGATAACATTGAAGAAGTATCTGATACGTAAACTACAAATTAGTATGTATGTACACATACTTGATTAATATTTATAAGACATCTTGTGAACATTTTATTAGTGTCATATTTTTACTCCATATTAAATCTCCAATAAGTTTCAAATGTTTTTCATAAAATAACAAAATTGTATAATTTAATTTAAAATACATTATAATTTACATACAATATTTAAGTTATTGACTAAAAGATATATGTATTTGAAGTCTTAACATAATATTTTATACAAGTATCTTCAATATTTTAAACATCCAGCTCGAGCCAATTTATCAGCCATTTCATTACCATAAATTCCAACATGACCATTAACATGATTCTGTAATATTGAAACATCAATTATATGTTATCTATAATTAATAAAATGAAAACACTAAATATTAATAAAATAATTTTGTAATATTACCCAAATTATATTTAAAGATTTTAAAGCTTCTTCCATTTCTAATAGTTCAATCTTATTTATAACTGGTTTATTAGCTGCAGTATTCCACCCATTAGCTTTCCATTTTGGCATCCAATTATTTATACAGGAAATAAGGAATTTTGAATCTGTATTAATCTTCAATTTTTTAATACCTGCCTTCTTTGCTTGTTTCGCAGCTATAGTTACAGCCTGAATTTCTGCCATATTATTAGTTGCTCGTCCAACAACTGCTTGTGATACATTTCTATAATCAACAGATTTAAACAAAAGCTCTACATGGAATAATTATTAGGTACTGGATATAATTAAAAAAAAATTGAAACATACAGAGGATGGTCATCACCAAACCAAACACCTATACCTGCTCGTGCAGTGGTACGACCATTTGAACTACATGCACCATCTGTATACACATTCACATAACCATCACTATCAATATTGAAACCTCCACTCTTTTCCTAAAAAATTAATAAATATAACAAGATAAATTTCTATAACTATATAATGTTAAAATAATGTTAAAAATACTTACCCCATTTTCAATTTGTATAACCTTTGAGCATTCTTTTAAATCTGTCTTTTTTAATTTTTTTGCAAATGATGTTCCACTATCCATGTTTGAAGATTGATCATTTTGTAATTTTGATCTAAAACCATTTTTTAATTAAAGCATACTTTGTATGTTTCACATATTAAAATTATTATTATTTTATTATACCTTTTACCAAGTATAGATGTTGCATTTCTGTAGCTATTTTTTTTACCTGGATTTGTATATTCTTTAATGAAATTTTCAGCTTCTTCTTGAATATGAAATTTTTTATATTTGGCTCCAGTAAAATGGTCTACTTGTAGTTTACATTCATCCCTAATTGTTGAGAATATAAAAATATAGCTTTTATAGATAATTTATAATTTATAACATATATTTAATATAACATTATAAACAAAAATTTATTACCAAGTTTTGTAAATTCCAGGTTTACGACCTCTGGCTACTGCATAATATGCAGATGGCATTCTTTTTAATATATTGAGGAAAAAGCTAAATACCATCTATGTATTAATAATATTAATTAACTTTATATATGTGACAGTTTACTACAGTAATTGTAATTAAAAATGTTTACTATTTAATACCTACAAAGTACATACAACAATTTAAATAAGTATGAAAAATAATCTAAGATTGCATATAAACTATATTATAAAATATGTATACAAATATATATATTATAAAATATAGATATTAAGCCAAACAAGAAGTATGAATTTACACGATCCAAATGTCAGTAATATAATCGGTAAGAGACAAATCTAACCTTAAATATTTTCAGTTACAAACACAACATACCGCAAAAAAATATAAATTTTGTTTAGGGAAAGTTATAATGTATCATTTGAGAACAATTAATAACTAATCAACATTAATTGTAAAATAGTGGTTCGATATTAATTTCCAGTATATGTATATGTATATTTCAATAGAATCTACTTTCTCTCTTACAATATTTGAACTATCATATAATATTTTAATATTTAGTTTATTACATATGTGTCAAATGAACAAACACGTTTCTTTTTTTTAATTTAAATTTGAACTGTCCTCTTATTAAAATTTTATAATATTTCGTTTTCTTTTTTATATTTTTAATTTGTATTTTATTTATTTATGTATTAACGTAACTGTTTTGAAGTTCTATAACTAGTAACTTGTACATGGTTTAAACAAAATAGTTACTAATTACATGTTCGATACCAATATTATGTTATTGAATATTCAAAAAAATGTTTATACACAATATTGCGATCAATATTCTACTTATCGGAACTGAAAAAATATTTAATTCAGTCTAATTTCTACTGCCAAAGAGTATTGTGAATGTAAAGGATTATAATATTTTTTAAAGTCTATAATATATTCTAACATAATTATCCTAATTTCACAAGATAATATTTTATTTACTTCCTCTCAAATATTAATTGCCTTTTAATAGAATATTTAAAAAAATTTGTATTATAATTATATGCGTACGATGTAATAATTTTAATTCAAGAATAAGTATTACTTAAATATATTAGTTTTCTTATCATATACTTTTAATTTATTATATGATTTATTGAAGAAATAGAGATACTTATAACTTGATGTAGGGGATTCAGGTTAATGTATCAAAGAATGTACAATCTTAATTTTTATACCCTTCATAAAGATTTTTAGAGCGGTTTGTTGATTTATTCCCACTAGAGATTGATTTATTTATTATAACATGGCAAATTCAAAGGTATGTTTTCACAAAATTTTTAATATAATTATTAATATATATACATGTAAAGAAATGTTTTTCATTAGTTTAATTCTTATTATAAATGTATATATTTTTATTTGCTATTAGAAAAATAGTAGTTGGCTAATGTCATCATTTGATTGTGAACCTATTAAGAAAACACCGAAAAATAAGCGTAATATTTCACAAGCATTAGAAACTAGTGATTTGCAAATTTCAAGTGCTTATGATATAATTCCCAAGAGAAAAAATACTGGTGGTTTATCAAGATTGTTAGAAGCTTGTGAACCACGTATTCCTCCTGAATTAGCAATCAGCAAGCAAAAACGGCAAGAGATCTTAGATTGGTTACAATATAAAGTAAAAAAAGGCAGACCTGCTGTGTTAGTTTTAGCTGGTCCATCTGGTTGTGGAAAAACAGCAGCTATAAGAGTTCTTGCTAAAGAAAATGGTTTCCACATTACAGAATGGATTACTCCTATTGACCAAATTATGGATGAAAACAGTAATTTCTTTTTTGAATAGAATTTCTCATTTAGTATGCTCATAAATCATTAATAATAATCAATACAATAATTATATGATTGTTAACTTCTATTCAGACAGAGTAATGAGACAAGGAGATAGATTTGAAGAATTTTTAATTAGAGCTACTCGATATAGTTCAGTTTTACATAATTATTCTAGTCGTTTACTACTTGTGAAAGATTTTCCAAATGTCTTTTATACAGATAAAGAGAGCTTCTTTTCTCTTTTGGAGTAAGTAAAATTATTTATATATTTTTTTTGGTATTTTTTACTGAAATATACTTATCATATATCTCAACTTTTAGAAAATACTTTGAAATGGGAAGAGAACCAATAGTCTTTATATGTTCAGAAGGAGGCCATTCAAAATTGCTTCAAGTATTATTTCCTCCTAATATAAGAGAAAAATTTGGTATTGATTTAATTAAGTAAGTTATTAAATGGAATTATATGTGCATAACTGTGTTCATAATATATGTTTGATATAAAGTTTTTGTATTCTAGTGTAAATTCTGTTACACAAGCTGCAATGAAAAATGCATTAAAAAGAGTAGTTGGTATTTTAAATTCAGTTGGTGGGCATATGTTACATGTTTCACAACATAAAGTTGATGAAATATTATCAAATAGTATAGGAGATATTAGAAATGTTTTGTTAAATCTTATTTTTATTTCATTAAAAGGTAAATACGATAAATTAAAGGTGAGTTTAATGCATTTAATTTTTAAATGACATGTTATATTATTCTATGTTATATTATTAGTACCTGAAGAACAAAAACATAAATGTAACATTCGAGAAGAGACTTTAGGGCTTCTTCATGGCATTGGACGAGTAATTAATCCAAAAAGTGAACAAATATTTATTTTATATTTATTAATAAATTACATATCCAAATTTACTGAATTGATTTAAAGCACAATAATCCTGAATAAATTCATAGGAATTCAAACTGAAGATAAGTGGAAATTTGCACACGATCCTGACGAGATAACAGCCTTTTTTCAATCACAAGCAACAGTATTTTTGAACTTTCTCCAAGAAAATTATTTAAATACCATAAAAGAAATAGAGAAAGCAGATGCTTGCGCAAATATTTTAAGTTTAGCAGACGTTTTAAATTCTGAGTGGCGAGTATGTTTCTTTTGTTGTTTTTTATACAAAAATTAAATGATTCTTTCTATGTGTAATGTTATTTAAAATATAAAATTATTATAAAAATATTTCTTCAAAAATTTTAATATAGGAAATAAATGATGCAAATTTTAGGATCCTAATTTAGCTAAAATTACGTTATCGTATTGTATCCGAGGTGTAATGGTAACAAATGAAAAGCCAGTTTCAGGATGGAATCCAGTAAGAAAACCACCAAATGATCGAATTGTTGTGTAAGTATATAAAATATTGCAATAATTAATCCATATATCTGTAATATAATAGTAACATTAAATAACATTGAGCGACAATAATATTGTAATCAGTGGTGTATTGTTAAAAAAATTAATATCGGAATACTCATTGACTTAATATGAGACATTAAAACGAAACATGACAACTACCTACATTTATTTTATTTGCATCTTTGCATAATTCAAAAATAAGAACATTTATTTATAACTTTTTAATACAAATTTCAAACATACAAAACAAAAAATTAATGATTTTTTGCTATAGCGGTTAGAAAAGAGTTCCGAAGTTCTATAAAAAAGTATCGGAACATCGTTGCGGTGCGTTTCGACCTCAATACACCTTTGATTGGAATAAATTTTTATATTTACGTATATAACTTCTATATTAGCAAATGTATGTAATATTGTTTGCGTAGACAAAGATGTCAAGCAATAGCTGAAGTTAAATGGTATGAATCTATCATCAATTTAAAACCGAAAAATACAATAGAAATGCCGATTACTGATATCGAAGAAATTATTGAATGAAGTTCATGGGAATTAAGGTTGTAAATAAAGAAAAAGTTTATCGTGTATATTTATTTATACTTTATTTTCTACTAGAATTATATAAATGTAAAATATAATATCAGTAGAAATTGAACGACACAAATTTGATTAGGATTTCTTACAGTTCTTGAAATATTTGTATATATCGTTGAATGACACTGTTTTATACTATTTATATAGCTTAATATCATCTAATATATAATAATCATTATTAATGGAGAAAAACAAGTATTAAAGTGAATTACATTGATAAATATAATAAAAATACATTTTTTATAATTTACATATCTTAAACGAAATACTTTATTACAAGTGTTCCTCCTAATAAAATTCGTGGCAGTTAGATAACAAAATTATTTCATTAATGATTTCTACTCAAAATTGTTCGTCAAAGCGAGTATTTTATTTAAAAAATAGACCTTACAATCTAACTTTTCTTCATAAATAATTAAACGATTATACTTAATTAACTATATTTGTACATCAATGTAAATTTTATACGCTTACTAAATATTCTGTAAAGCTTTTTTTATAAAATTTTTTATCAGCTAAAGTAGTTTATAGAAAAAATGCAATAACAAGCAGTCTTCCGCTTCAAATACCTTATACGAGCGTTTGCATTAAAGTATTCAAATAATCTGTATTTTACAGACAGTCTCATTTTTTTTCAACTTTTTTAAAAAACAGAAAAATGTATACAAATTTGAAAAGCTTTGAACTGATGGTTGTTAATTGTTCATAGAAGTTTTCGGTATATTATTAGTATCAAAGAGTATTTATAAAATACGTGGTGAAGTTTCTTTAAACAGAAAATTGAATATTTCTTATTTAGGTTTTTGATCTAAATGAAAATGGTTAATGATAAACACTATTAGAATGAGACCAATATAAGATATTTATATAAGGTGTTTTCGGTAATGAAACGATTATTCGGGAACTATGCGTTTAAAAGTTTGACTTCTTCTATTGTTGAAACAAGATTGTCGAGACCAAATAAGAAACCTTCCTCATGATTTCCTTGTTCCCATGGTTTCCTGTGTGTCACTCTATGTCCATTTGGCAGTTCTCGAGTTTTAGCAAAGTCGATCAACCAGACGCCAACTTTATCGTTGTCGTAGATCATGAAAATACTACTACCAATTATCTGAAAGCAAATTATATGTTTAAATTAAACAATTAATTGCCAAATTGTATTATAAAACATTTGATGTAAAAGTTATATTAATAAAGAAAGAAACTGAAAGAAATAAAACAGCAGTATTTTAATGTTTCAGATAATTAATGTTATTTAATTATCAACAGACTATGAGTAAATAAAAATTGTTTAATTTTTGCTATTCAGAACGATTATATTATACACATTGTGTAGTTAATATAATTTACTAAAAATTTTAAGTAGACTTGTAAAAGTAATATTGGTTTTTAAAATCATTCCAAATTTTGTATTTCTCAAAATTATACTCTACATCTTATTTTTGCTCAAGTATTGCTTCATAATTATTTTTAGCACAATATAGTATATTATTGACTTTTCACTTTATTTCCATAAATTGTAAACTAAAAATTCTTTTATATCATTCATAATTTGTGGCTGACGTAAAAAAATTGCATATTTTTTTAAAAGAGAAATAACACATACTTCGTGAGTCTTGAAGTATTCAGACACCTCAATCTTTGATCGAAGATTTTTCAGACGTGCGAGCAATTTCTTGCGAGTAGTCTCGCGTCTTCCAAGAAACAGCTTCATAGTATCAAGCACTTCCTGGTGGGATTTTACTTTCTTTAGATCAGTGATCGGTGGACCACCAGGTAATTTCATAGCCTCAATTCTAAATCCGTGGCTACAAGTCGAGCTCTGTTGCTCACGGAACTGCATGTACCGCAATTTAGTCACGGCACGTTGCTCATGTTCCTGCTTCGTTGGCGCATTAGGATCGACGGCTATCATCTTTTGATACAGATCCGGCCTAGCGGTTGTCTTTGACACCTCAGATTCGAGAAACGTTCTCGTGCCCATCTTGATGTCCATTACATGCGGATCATTGAAACCAAATAGTAAATCCTGCAGCTCGATGAATGTGTCACCTTTGTATTCCACTTCTCGATAATATCTAAAATGTGAATATAAAACATTTTAAGGTTAAGAGGTTCTATAAATCCATAAATAATTTTTGAAAATATTATAGTAGAAATATAATACAGTAAAAATAAATATATATAGTAAATTCTATTTCGTTAATTTTATTCAGCTCTATTCTAAGAAATCGTTGAGAAGGTTATGACATGTGATATTAATTATTATATAAATTTTGGCAAACAAAAGTATTGCGTATAACGTAATAATAATAAAAATGAATTGTAATGCAAAAACATTTATGAAGAAATTTTTAACGAGATTTAATTTCTTTGAAATATAATGTATAATATATATTTTCTTTAAATTCAAAATAATAAATATTCAAAATGATTTTTGTTATTCTTAAGTATCATTACCGTAACATACTTGTATTTTTCAACATTCTAATAGAAACTTCGTGGAAATTTATAGCCTGTCTACGAGATCGCTTAATGTTCATTGTTTGATTCTTATCGATTATATCAATTGATCTAGGCTTTACAGGTAATAAATTACTCGATAATTTATTTGCTGTTCGATAATATTTAAGTACCTTTAAAGTATCGTTAAAGTGATACTTTAAGCTCCTTTCACTTTTTACAGATGTATTTTTAAAAATGTATATGGGATAAATGATTTAAAAAGTCTGAAGAAAGGTTTTATTTTTATTAAATAATATAAATTATAAATTATATATACATTTATTTTCTCAAAAATATTTCTCAGAAATTTTGAATAAGTAAATTCTATTCTTTATTTACCTTGGTATACAATCTCGTAACTCTTTGTCTTTGCTAAGAGCTTCGTAAACGATTCTTTCTGTGTTTTCTGCTCCTCCTGTTTTCCTCTTCCAAACTGTTCCAGGCCCAGCAGGGGCGAAACCATCCGGATGTCCGGATAATTGAAACCACGATTTTAATCTGTTCTTCAATAAAACATCACTGGCTGGTGCTGTTAAATCCAAAGCGTTCTGTAAAAAGAGAAAAAAGAAAAAAGTAATAAATATCAAAATTCTAATTTTTCATATAACTGATACTTAATACCAATTAATAATTAAAATTGGGATGAAGATATGAAAGGATTGTGAATATTAGAAATGTAGAAACGAAAATAAAAATTTAAATGCATGAATTAAAATTGCATAAGATTTTTATTCAAGATTTTTAATGCATTGGTGTATATTTAATTATATTTGGAAATATAACTTTATATTACATTAATTTTTGATAACCCTAAGAATTAAAATTATTAAAAAAAAGAAAAAACGATTTTCTGATCATATTTTATAAAAAAGTCACAAAGTATTGTATGTAGTATGTGTACATTATTTCATTATAATTATTTTCGCGATAAATAATTTTTCCCTTTTTTTATTGTAGATATCACTAATTGGCATTTTATTATATCACTATTGCATCATCTTTTTTGAAGAGAGAATGATTAAAAGAAAAAGGACATAAGATAAAGCGCCAAATTATAAAAATATTTCCATTTAACTACATATTCTGTTACCTAGAGCACTAAATAACTTTAGTAATATACGACACAATGTCATTAAAGTCACCACGTTATGCTGCCATTTTGTTAAATTGTTAATAATAATTAATTATATAATAAATAATTTGTTCAAATGTACTATAACAAACATTGCTTTGCTTTGTTTTAATTTAAAATTTATTAAAGTCGATAATTCCATCTGTCTGATTTTCTTTGGTTATTAAAAGTTTAATTTTCGATTAAAAGTTCGATAAAATAGATTAGTACCAGGGCTAGAAATTTCAACGAAAGATCCTCTTCCGGCATAGTAGTATCAGAAAGGACCAGCGGAAACTGTTCCATCTTTTGTATCGTTGCTGGATCATTGGGTAATTTGGTAAGGGCCCCGGTTGTACTAGATCCGACGCTGTTGGACCGATTCGAGCCCATAGATGTGCCCCTTCGCCATTGACGGAAGGCGCTATAAGTGCTGCTCGACGAAGCATCCTTTTGCCTTCGATGCTCCTTGTGGTTGGAATTATGATTCAGTCGCGCTTGTTCCTTGCTCGAAGGCTGTAACCAAAGAAATCTACTAAGAATTTAATCCAGCCGATACGATGCTTATATTATTTTCCATAATTATTCAACCAAAAAATGAATAAAACCAATGCATAATACTTTTAAATATATTGTATTAATTTTAAGAATGTTATTACCTATATTACTACTAGTCTGTTGAACATTTCAATGTTAAAAACATCATATATAATACTGGATAAAATTATAAGAAAACCAGTATTTATATTGGCTTACAAATATTGCATTTTATTATGCTGATTATTATACAGCAGTTTTGTTTCATACTTTCATATTCTTCTATGCACAAGAATAAGGGAAAAATATAGAATGAAAAGAATAAAAATACATATTTGATGAAACTGTCTCATTATTGTGACTGTTCGGTAAAAATATTCAACATTCGTTTATAAATTCAACGAAGAGGACATTCAGTCTCGTCACACAACGTCAGAATGATAGATGTTCGGTTGAAGTATTAATGACAACCGTAGATTTCAAAGCCCTTTCCGTTGAAAATTAAAAACTCCCGCGTTAAAAACCAATGGATCACTTTTAACCAATTAATCGTAAGGACCAATAATTTATACCTTCAAAGTAATATCGAGGAAGCGGGTTTCTTCTTATGGGATAGAAACACGTGCAATTCTTATGCGACTTGGATATTTCGTAATCAAGCACGACGTTTACCAATCAGAAGTATGAGCTTTATAAGTACAACGCGCATGTGCGCACGTGGTCCAGCGCATGCAACGAATCGAAATCCATCGGTAAGGGTCGTTTAATTGAGTTTAGCGAATCGCATGCGGCTCGTGCTAATTGATGCATCGTGGTTGATGCTTAATCCGTTTATAATGTGTCACGTGTGTTCCTCAATCTGAGTATCAAGCGAGAACGGTCACGATTGCGACAATTGAACGGTTGACGCGCGTAACGTTCGGATAATTGCGCATAAATTGTTAACCGGAACTAGGCACACGGAACATGCTAAGTGTGCAAATGGTGTGAAATAGAAGGAAACGTGTAGTTAAGAGAATTAGTCCTTTGTTTTGAGGCATGATCGGTAGAGTTTTTATTGAAATCTTTAAGTAATTTGCAATGGATCTCGCGTTATTTAAAGTTTAAGAGTTTATCGGAACTATATATTTTTTTTTACCAATGAGATATCTTGATAATTCTTTTTTTCGATCAGGTTAGAAAAGTTGAACTTTTAATCTTTATTTATCGTCATTCAGCAAATATTGAACTGAATAATTGTATAGCAATTAAGTAATAAATGCTTATTTTGAATATTATATATAGTTTCGACCGTTAAATAATTAATGACAAGAAGCAGTTTAAGCCGATAACTTTTAAAGTTATTTTAATTACTGAGTTAGGTACAAATAAATTATTATTCGTATAAACAGAATTTTACTTAAATATAAACAATGTATGTAAAAGTTTGGACGTTAATAAAATGATAAATTTACGTTACATATAATAAGTATCCTATTAATTAAATTTATTTTGCTATTTAGGTAAAATATTTCGAAACTCTATGAAAATTATTTCAAATTATTAGACAAATAAAATTTTTCTCGAGGTAGGAACATTTTTATCACTATATGTGTACAGCAGAGTCATCGCTTAGAAAAGTACGTTACTATTCCGATGATAAGTGTGCTCAATCGTGCAGGTGGTGCGGCACGTCATGGAATTCGATTTCGCGATACGCTATTCATTTTAATTTAACCGACAAGGTCCGAACGTGAGGACATCGCGAAATCGTGCCTCGCAATTTCCCGATATGCGATCTCGTATCGCAATAATATAACGTTAGTGACAAATCAAATGATTAATCGGTATTCGTATCTTTCAATTGATACAATTCGCATACATGCATATACGTCTAACATTTTGTAATCAAAATGTTTCTATGAGGACTTATCTTTATTTAATGAGACATAAGATAACTTCTTTCTTTCTCAATCAATTCTAGTGTTCTAAAATTAATAAATCTTCTAATTTCTGTAACAAAATTTTTTTCTTTCAAGAGGTTATGTATAACCTAAAACAAATTCTATTCATATTCAATTCATTTCTATACGATATTTTCTACTGTATATTTTTATATACACATATATGTAAGGACAATGATTCATATTCGAGAAAGTTTATCACAATTTGGAAATATGTTTGAAATAAAGAAGACATATTGATCTACATAGTATAAACTATCTCACGGTATGAAATCAATTAAAAATAATCTACGGCTGTCACCATAATGTTATTACCCATGACTCACAAAACTATAACCTATGTGTCACAAACATGTGTTTAAAAAAAGATCATGGTACAAAAAATTTTGCATTATAGCAGAACTGATAATTATAAAAGTGACCTAAGTCATATATGTTTCTTTCGAAATATTCAAAATTCCAATCTCAATTTAACACTCAACTTTTTTGCTATTTCAGCAAAAATAATATATTATTATAGTGTAAATTAATGCAACATAAAATAAGAAATGAAATCTTCTGATTTGCATTTCTAACCTAAACCACTCTCGTAATTTATTGTTTCATTCGAAACAGTCTAATACATTTGACCAGTCGTATTACATATTGGCGTTACTCGCATTACTGATGGAATATACGAGGGTCGTTACACCGTGCGTAACCGGTTAGCGTATTTGATCATAGTAAACAAGCACGTGGCAACTGAGGAGAATCGAATTGCTCTGTCGCAAGAATTATTGCCATAACAATAATTGCAACAATGACGTGTTATACGATTGGTTATAAATAGCCACTGAACAACAAAATATTTTGCACGTAAAACGGAACAACAGGTTATTTTATATTTTAATATCATACGTCAAAAACATGATAAGTCTCTTGTTGATTTTCTGAATTTGATGTCATTTGCAGGATACAAGACAATGTTTTAAAATAACATGGTTGGTAAGAATCAAATCTGATGGGTCCAGAGATGCAAAGCTTTTAAAAATAAATAATCCATGTAACTTTTAGGAAAAATTAAGATAATAATTAATGTTAGATATTTTTGAAATATGCATGAGTACACACACATTTAATTACAAAAGGAAAGAAGAAGACAATTTTGGCAGTAGGAAATTGACTAAAAGATACAAAAATGTTATGGTTATACATAATTGTAGTTTCTATATAACAAAAATGCAACAATCTTTTTACTCATATACATTTGTTTAAATAATAGTGCAAAATAAGATATTTGTATAGTGCTTATGTGCACTGGGGTACAGTCAACTTCTTCTTATTTTGACGGTAAAAGGTATATTTGTTTAAATTTAGAATATTTATTTTTAGGATTATAATTCTGTTTAAAATGTTATGGTATGGTTTTTTAAATGTTTTATTATTCAAAAAGATTTTAGTAATACTACGTAATTAGTCGTTTAAGGAATCTATGAGTCAATGTGGCTAATTATGGTAAACGTGTCGGTAGTTTCAGATAATAAAACTGTCGTTATTCAATCCTATTGTACAGTACTTCTCATTCGTATAATTGTTATCCTTGATACGATGTAGAAACTAAGATTTATCGAGGTTCTTTTGATCTTTACGTATATTAAACATTCCTATTACATTTTGTTCAATTGTTAAAAATAATTTTTTATATTAACACGTGACACAAATAAGGAATTATATATCATAATAACAAAGAAGAAGCAGAATTACAACAGATTAAAACTTACAAATCTGTAAATTATTGCATTTCGAAAAATATATTTTTTAAAAATATGAAGAATATGCAATAAGCAATATTTACCACTAAAGCTGAGCTAAGCATTTTTACCATCTTAATTCATCTCAAATATATGAATATCATATATGTACATATATATATATATATATGCATGTACAAGTGCGTTTTCTTTGCGATATACATAAATGCACCATTGCACTTTTTAAATTTATTTTAGCGAACAAAACTTACTTTGTTAAAAAAAAATCTATTTACGACTCGTTCTGAGATAATTTTAATAAAAGCATTTTTATCTATTCCATATCTCATTCTAAATATATTCCGTGTTATCTTAGAAGCTACTAAAAAGCTAGAAAATACAGAAGTAATAATTTATAACTAAAAAAATGTTCTATACTCATATAATTGGAGAATCGATATTAATTAATTATATAATTAATTATACAAATTAATTATGCATCTTTATTTATTATTTATTAATTATATAGTTGAATGCGAATTTGATAGATTATATTCCATATTTTCATTTTCACAAGAAAAAAAAAAATCATAAGGAATAAAGCAACTAGGTTTCTCTCATTGGTCGAAATATTAATACGCATCAAGGTTAATACGTCTCTGACACATTAAAGGGGAATTAGGCAGGATCAGATTACGCCTATTGTTCCAGGGCTGCTCGCGAGTCATCTTCCGAGTAATGTGTGATACTAACTATCGAAGTAAAATATAACGTAATAACAAAGTTGAAAAGTGATGAAAATGTAATAAAATTAGCGAAAGATAAGATATTGGAAAATCTACAATCGTAAATCGAGTACGTTTGAAAATAAACTTCGATGGTTTAAAGTACAAAAAGAATGTAAGTTTACAGTTAGTGTAGTGAAAAAAGATAATTCCTTTATGTAAGTACGACATTTTTTAGGTTACAAATAAAAAATATACACTCTTCACAGTCCAACACTGTGTTGAAACTGGTTTCTAACTTTCTAATTTTCCTTTTTCTCCAAGTTTCCGCATTTCAAACTGTTCTTATAAAACTCACAGGTTGCAACAAATAGGCCATAAATCACGATCGTTAGACCGTTCGATTGTGTCTTCGCTGACTCGATAGATGGAGTTAGGGGACAGAGGGAGAATGATACACAAACGGGTGCACGTGACATTTACATTCGACGTATGATTGCGATCGATCGAATGCAGGTAATCACGGCACGATCGGGATAAGATATGTAAGGAATGTGTAACGAGCTGTCTTCGATGCAAAT